CTCCAAAAATGGTTAAAATCACGTAGATCTATACACATGAAAATCTTGAAAATGGACAGTGTAGATAATGTATTGCAAGATACGTTACGTTACTTCTGGGATTCAAAATCTTTTTTTTTTTTCATATTCATACTTCTCGTTGTTGAGATGATCAATTAGAGGGTTTTTCAACATTTTTTGCCCATTTAATGCTGCTAAAGTTTCACCTAAGCCTACCAATTAGGGATAAACCTTTAAGTACTTAAAACACATATTCTAACAAGCTGCACATCATTTGCAGCATTAAATGGGGCAAAAATACACAAAGCAGTAGGATCGTAATTACTTGTTGCATTTCCAAGCAAGAAAATCAACAAAAGGAAGAAGAGAGCCACCACTATTCAATCAACCAAGTATGATCAACCTATAGAAGAAAATTCTCCAAGTATGAGATAAAAACAATACTATATGAGAAGAATATATGAGACAGTTCTGGAAAATTGAACCAAACAAGAATAGAAATCCTCAGATCTATTGCAAACTAAACTATTTATGTAACAGACAATTCAGATGGTTACATCCCAATCTAGAACAAGCACCTTAGGCTTTCTTCACCACCTAAAATGATGCTTTAAGGAGGTAACATAAATGGAAACGATAAAACATCATATAACACGCACAATATACCTTCATCACGACTACAGATAGCAGTTCATCTTCAGAGAACTCGGACTTCTCTTGTACCTGCCATTTGGAGCCCACATTTGATTCCAAATCCAACACCGACAAAATAAGTTAAAAGGGATTGTATGCTACGAGAACATTTATCATTGTTACAAGGTGGTCACAACCACTCCTAGTCATTGGATGTCCAATGGGATGGCTTAGAGTGCGTCACAAAGTTCGAGAAACTTTCTTTTGAACTTCAAATCTAATCAATAACACACAACACCCGATTTAAAATCTAACGGACAAGGGTAATTGTGACCTCCTTGTACTAAAAGTAAATGGTCTCTTTGTATACTTTTCCTAAATTAAATGCGCGCCCTTTTCTTTTCAGATAAATTAGATATATGAAAAATGACATGATAACGTGCCTTATCTTTCCGTAGATTACAAACTGAAAGTGTACCATCACCACTGTTCACAAAGAAAACCAGATAAATATATTAGCGCTACTGACCAATCTTTGATGCCAAATAGATATCTTAAAAAGCATTTTAATGTAAGCCCTAAAGAGTGGCACAACTCAAATGCCGAAGTAATATGTGAAGGGAATTTACACTTCAAATTCAAAATCATTTACTTCTAGTACAAGGTCACAATCACTCCTAGCCATCTAATGTGGACACAAACGGCAAAAAGTGTTTCACAAAATTTGAGAAATTTTTTTTGAGCATTGAGTTCAGCCAATAATTCCATCCAAAAATAAAAGACGGAAATTTGGTCAATAGCATACCCTTGACAGAACATTTCACATCTAACAGCTAGGAATGATTTTGAGCTTCTAATATCGAAGATAAACACTCTTATTGCATACTTCTCCATACTTGAATTATAGAGAAAATAAAATATTATCAAGGTAGAGTATACTAAAATCTAGTTGATCAGGAAAACCACCGTCAATCAGGGCCATCACTGTATGATGAAACAAATGGTGATGGAAAGACGAAGGACAAATCGTTGGGAGCATGTCATCCAGTTTGATTCATGGCCAACTGAGTATACTATAGCCTAATTAATTATAGTATACTTTTCCTTCCATCAGAACAAAATAAGGAAGAGAAAACAAAGGAAATATGGATAAAACTTTGAAGGACATAAAGTTCTAAATTCAAGGGTACACAATGACTGAGTGAGTTAAAACTGCATTTTTTTTTTTTGATAAACATTAACATTTCTATTTATAGAGAAGAAGTACAAGTATGGTTAATCCGAGAGTACCCTCTAGGCAGGACTCTTAGTAAAAAATAATAGGTCAACCGCCCCTGTACAAAAAAGGGGTTACAGGATGGTCCCCTTACAAAGTTTACAATGTGTTAACAAAAATTGGCCCCTTGCAAGGTTTACAATGAAATTACAAAAAATGGGCTAAAAACGTTGCCCGTATGCAGTAAGTTTTTCTTCTTAGTATGTCCTCAGCGGTCCAAGGCAGAAATGGGCCGGGTGAGATCTACCGTCATGGGGCCTTGCCCCGTCCTTCGCCAGGAGGTCGGCGAACTCGTTTGGCGTCCTCGAGGTATGCATCCAGTAGACGTCTATATCCCTGCGAGTGTATACAATCTCATCATAAATCGGTGCCAAATACCAAGGGGGTGAAGATCTCCCCGTGGCCCACGAAAGGATGTTTGAAGCATCACTCTCCACTATCAAATTTTGCCCCCAGAATCGATCGAAGCTTTGCAAGCCCTTTAAAAGGGCCATAGATTCGGCATACTGGGAATTATGGAGGCCAAAATATTCAGAGTAAGTGAAAAGGATATTGCGTTGGTGATCTCTAAAGACCCCACCTGCTCCAGCATGGTTGGGTTTCCCCAAGGAGCACCCATCGAAGTTTAGCTTAATAGCTCCTTCAGGAGGTGGCTTCCAGATGGATGGTCTTTTCTCCTTCTTGAACTGTGAACAAGGACATTCTTCCATTGGCATAGGAAGCAGTTCGTAGTGATACCCTTGAAAAGGTGTTGGTTTGACACCCAGAAGGTTACTGAGGTCGTAACCTTGTCGAAGAGGATTAAGACCGAGCATATCTGTCCTTGGAAAATCCTGGCATTTCTTTCTGTCCAGATCGCCCAAATGGTTGCTGACACCACTGCCCTCCATAGGATTTTACCGGCCTTCGGCCAATGAGAGGCAAAATCGACAGCTAATAAGTCTCCAACCGTCGGTGGAGTTACCCAATGGATGCCAAAAAGTTGATGCACAAAACTCCATAAATCGTGGACAGGGGTGCAATGGATGAAAAGGTGGGGATTGGATTCCTCCACACACAGACACATGATGCATCTGTTGGGGATTGGAATCCCTTTCTTTTGTAGGTGGTCGACTGTAAGTGCCTTTTGAGAACCTGCTATCCAATTGAACATTTGCACCTTGGGGGGTGCTATAGTATGCCTAACTTGAAACAGGACCGCTGGGGGATTAAGTGGGAAAGTGGGGGTTTGGATGAGTTCCTTGTAGAAAGAGGCCACTGAGAAAACCCCTGACAAAGCGAGGGACCATACCAGCTGATCCCTTCCTTGTATGGGGAGAAAATAATGGTGTCGCAGTGCCGAAAGGGAGAGAAAGTGGTTTGTTTCCTCCTTTGAGAGGTTTCTTCTGAAAGAGGGGTTCCACACTCTTCGACCTCCCTCCAGCACCATTTCTTCCTCTATTGTGGCTTCACTGTTCACTGCGATAGAGTGAAGGGATGGATAGAGGTCCCTTAGTGGAGCATGGCCAATCTAGAGATCAGACCAGAAGCTCACTATTGTTCCTTCTCTTGGAAGAAACCTGATGTATTTTTTGAACAGCAGGAGAGAGGAAGTGAAAGATTTCTACGCTCCGGATGCATTTGTCCAAGGTCTCTTCAAGAATCTTATATTTACTTCGCACTACCTGGGCCCAAAGAGAGTCTGTTTGGGTGGTTAGGCGCCACCCCCATTTACCTAAGCGCCTCGTTGTGTTTTCTTAAGAGCCTGATACCCACCCCCCCTGTCTGGGTAAGCATACCTTGTCCCAAGAAATCAAATGGAATTTGGTTTTCTCAGCCTGACCTGACCTGAGAAAGTTCCTCATCAGTTGGTCAAGCCTTTTAGCCACTGAAGCTGGTATTTGGAAATGGGACATTAGGTACACAGGTGCATTGGCTATTGTTGCTTTGATAAGAGCGGATCTACCCACTTGAGAGAGGTATCTCCCTTTCCTCCCCGCCAAGCGTCTATCAACATGTCTATCATATGGGAACGATGTCTCTTTTTAGGTTTGCCCAACCCAAGAGCTAGACCCAGATAAGTTGTAGAGAGGTCCTCACCTTTGGATTCCCAATTTGCGATGAGCTGTCTGATTTGGGCATTGGCAATAGCTATACCCATCATCTTTGATTTTACCATGTTGACCTTGAATCCTGTGGCTAATTGGAAGCATTTCAGAAAGAGCCTCAAATTATCCACTTCTTGGGGGGAAGCATCGAGGAAAACCAAAGTGTCATCTACGTATTGCAGATGTGACAATATAGGCCCACAATGAGAGGTTTTGAAGCCTGTGAGGAGACCAGCCTGGTAAACCCGGGACAAGGACCAGCTAAAGACTTTGGTTGAGATGGCGAAGAGGAATGGAGAGAGGGGATCCCCTTGTCGTAAACCCCTTGAGGAAGGGAAGAATCATTTTGGGGTTCCGATGATGAGTATTGAAAAATGTGAATTAGCGTAGCAACCTCTCATCCACTTTCTCCAACTAACTCGGAAACCCATTCTTGCCATCGTCTCATCGAACAGACCAATTGACGTGGTCGTACGCTTTCTCCCAGTCGATCTTAAAGATGAGGCAAGGTTTTTTTGCCAAATACCTGGAGTGTATACACTTGTGGCAATTAGAGCTCCATCCAAGATCAGCCTATCTTTAATGAAGGCCAACTGAGAGGAGGAGATGATTTAGGGAAGGACCTGTTGTAATCTTGATGCCAGCACTTTTGCCAGAATCTTATCAGAGGAGTTGAGCAAACTGATAGGACGAAATTCCTTTAGTTCTTCAGCCCCTTCAATCTTTGGGACCAAGGCTATGAAAATGGCATTAATGGCTTTATGGAGTCTTCCCCGGTGAAAGAATTCAGTGACGAAGCTAGTAAAGTTATGGCGGAACGTTTCCCAAAAGATTTTGAAGGGGGCAATGGGAAACCCATCAGGGCCAGGAGCTTTGTCTTTGGCTAAGTTATCTAATTTCAAGATTTCTTCTTCTAAGAGAGGACACTCCAGCCATTGAGTATGTTCTTCCGACAAAGTATGGAAGTCGAGGTCTGGAATGGCAGATCTTGGACCTCACGGGGCAGTGTACAGGTTCTGGAAGAAAGATAGGATAGCCGACTCAATTTCTCCCAGTTGGACCACATAGCTATTATCATATTTGATAATCGAGATAGAATTATCTCTCCTATGACAATTCGCTATCCTGTGGAAAAAACGAGTGTTAAGATCCCCTACTTTGAGCCAATTGACTCCAAATCTCTGGAACCAGTAGAGCTCTTCTTTTTTTAGAGTGGAAAGGTAATCGACTTTGGTTTGGACTCTCAATTCCGCTTCAGAGGTTGAAAGTGGATGGAGCACCTCAAGATGGTCAAGTTCTTGGATGGATGAAAGAAGAGAGAGGACTTAACTTGGGTTTGGTACCTTGGAATGGACTGACACCAAGCTTTCAGGGAGGCTTTAAGGAGTTGAATTTTAGATTGGAGTATAAAACCTGCACTTTCCGCTACCTGGCCAGAGAATGAGTTCCACCACATGGGATCAATGAAGAAAAGGATTTTTCTTCTAACCATGCTAGTTCGAATCTGAATCAAGGCTGGGGTCGTGAGAAGAATGGGGCAATGGTCAAAAGTGGGTTTAAGCAAGGCCAGGGCGTGGGAGCCAAGGAAACGTTCCTCCCAATTCAGGGCTAAGAGGAACCTGTCGAGTTTTGGGACAGTAGGTTGGGAGGAGTAGTTAGACCAAGTGAAGCGGTTTCCTTGAAGAGAAATGTCTAGGAGATTATTCCTGAAAATGAAGTCCGAGAATTCCATCATTCCAGGGGAGATGAGAGAGCTGGAGTTTCTCTCATAAGACCATTGGGTTATATTGAAGTCTCCACCCAAGCACCTGACTGGATGAGGACGAGAGGCCACAAAGTCCAAGTCAGTCTAGAGGCGAGCCCGCGAGGATGAAGTACAAGGGTCGTAGATGGCTGAGAGTTTCCATTCTAAGCTATCAGAGATGCAAGACAGGAGGATAGTAACAGAAAGTTCCTCAATATGTGAGGATAGCAGGAGGTTTTCTGTGGGTCCCAGATGACTCATATACCCCCAGAGGCCCCTATCGCGGGTAGGACGGCCCACTGGAAAGGCCTCCTACCCCAAACCTGTCGAATAAGATGGAGAGAAGGCTCGGATAATTTCATTTCAGTGAGGGCAAGAA